AATGTATTGTTGGTTTAAAGCTTTATTTTGCATTTATCACTGAAAAAACACATTTGTTTTTACATTTTTATAGTCTTTTCTTCCGTTCAATTTTACAATCAGCAATGAGTTTTGTTAAGTCTTAGACAATTTGTTTTGTTGAGAAAGGAAAAAAGAAAGGATCTTAGAATGAAATACAGATGCAAGAAAACGATGTTATAAAAGGAAAACGAGATGGGAGATGATAAGGTTAAAGAGTGCGATGGAGAGATGAGAGGAGCAACATGAGATGGTCAATTGTTCTGTCACATCTTATTTGGTGTTTGAGTGAGAGAAAGCAGCCCCCAACACATTCTCACATCACCAATGAATTACTGCAACCTGCAGGTCCACGCTGTAATCAAACCATGTGTGGACTAATTTATTAAAAATAGCAGTCGTGTGTGTGTGTGTGTGTGTGTGTGTGTGTGTGTGTGTGTGTGTGTGTGTGTGTGTGTGTGTGTGTGTGTGTGTGTGTGTGTGCGCGCGCTGATAATCCAGCTTGCTCCCTTTCTCCCAAACTTCATTAATCTGCCATCGGTCTGGGTCTCATTTTCTGCATCACACACACACACGTGCGCACACATGCACGCACACTTACACACACAGACTTTCGAAGATGTACCAATAGAACAAATGGTTTTAAAAATGTAATCCTTAAATCGTTAAATTTTTATCATCAAATCAAATTTATGATGCATCTCAGTTTTCTGTCACATTTGATTTTTGTGTATCATAATTCAAAGATTTTTTTGGGTGCTTGTTTTTGCTGCCCCCTAGGGTTGATAAACCAAAAATGTGTTTTAAAGACATTTCCAAGATCCATGGCGCTCTTCAAAGATTGGCTCGGCACACGGGAGGTGACATTGAAAATGATAGGAGGAGATGCAATGAGACAAAGCGATAATTATGGGTCTCCCTTCTGCTAAGCGACACTCGAAAATGTTCATGTGAAATTTTGCAGTCGTGCATGTGTTGCGTACAGGCGAGCCAGCGACGCGATCCCAGAATGTTGAAAAAGTTCAACTTTTCATCGCTGTCGCTCGGACAAGGACCAATCAGCGGAGGTTTCATCGACTGACCAATGAGCGGACAGGATGCTTCTCAGTACATCTCCGGGCAAACGTGAAGGAAAAGTTAATACTTGCTGTGTCGGATTTCCCAGAGCTTACAACATAGAAAGAATATAGAGATCTTCACAAAAAGGCAGCAGCGTGGGAAATTGTTGGTGAGTTTGTTGTGGACATGGTCTCATATTTACAGTTACTTTTTCAGTTTGGGATGAACCCATTCACGTATTTTTCTTTTTTATGTAGTAGTCAGAAGTAAGACTTCACTTAACTCTAACAAAACTTGTGAGACTTCATATCTACTGCTTTTTCAACTCTGAACTGCTTTAATAACCAAACATTCCCTCCGATCTGACGGCCAATCAAAACAACGGAAGACTTGCTATTTGCTCTGGAACAAAGCGTGTCACTGGCTTATGCTGCTGGCCGCATGTTGCCTGCTGTGTGTCAGCTAAATGACAACAAAACTTTTCGCTGATTGCAGTCCTTTGTCACCTCCCGTGTGTCAAGCCCACAATGCACACCATGGGTAGGATCTTACTGCATACTTCCTGTTTGAAAAATGCACCTAAAGGAGGCATCACCTGGCAGACCGAGAGAGCAACACTGAGGCAGTGAGGCAAACACCACCTCCTTTGCTTTTTTGGCATCGTGGTGGAGCCTTAAAGTGAAAGTAAAAGAGTAATGTCTTTGAAGGCCAAAGAGCTAAAACCAGAGTG